GGAACGTCTACCTTTGATAAAGCCGGTTTGATCTGGACGAATTATGGATGGGGTGACTTTTTCTGATCTGTGAGCTGGTGCCTAACTGATGATTTTAATATCTACAGTGAGGAGTGAAATAGGACGTTAAGTTTGGAAGAGTTGGATCTTTGTTTGGTTTGACGAGGACTGACATACGGAAATTGCTAATTTTGTTTTTTTCTCAGTTATCATCGGTGCTTTGTTATTGGCCATAAGGTCTTTATGTGTTAAAGGTGAGTCACGTATGTTAGTTTGTTCTTGGTTAATCTGTGGTAGATCAAAGGTGTTGAGAAATGAAATCATGGCTTCTGGATTTGGGTCCTTTTTAGATGAATGTATATTGGCATGAAAACTTCTGAAGATATTATTCTGTCATCGGGTGAATTTGTGGGGTTTCCTTCTGAGTGCTTAATGATTGAGTTTTTTATTTTTTCATTTAATTTAACTTGATTTGCCAAATATTTACCAGCTGTATTGCTATGGTGAAAATGGTCTTGTCTAAGTCTGTGTCTTAGGAATTGAATTTTATTATTTATAATTTCATTTATTTGGAATTCATACTTCCTTAATGTGTTACCAATGTTGGGTCACTTGCATTAATAAAGTCGATTGATTTGTTTTTATGTTCATTTTTTGTAAACTTGAATGAGATGATTATTCCTCTTAAAGCTGCTTTCCTTGTTTCCTGTAGGATGGTCGGTGAAACTGGGGAAGCACGTGTTTCTAGGAAGGATGCCCACTCTTTTTTAATCACACTGTTAAAGTGAGGATCTTTGACCAGCGACGTGTTGAATCTAGTGACAGATTTCGGTGTTAAATCTGTTCCATATAAAAGTCACCAGCATGCTCACTAATAATGAGAGGATGAGTATTCAGGTCGGAAATATTCAATATAATTGAATTGTTGCTGAGGAAGAAGTACTTTCGGATACTTAAATAATCATTTGCTGTTTGTAGCAGGACTTTACTATCTGATTGACACTCCAGAACATCTCTACACTTTTGTTTCCATCCTTCACAATAAAAGCCCCGGATACCTTCACTGGGACACTGTTAGCTTGCTAGCAGCATCCTTCAGGTCGGGGAGCTGCAGGACAAACAAACTGAGGTCAGACCTCACAGGAAGTCGTCACACGGTGAACAGTAGTGAGATCTGATCTGAGAGCCAGCTGATCTTCATCTGCATGCTGGGAGCAACACTCCATCAAAACTCCATCGTCCAATAAGGAGCCAGAGAAAAGCCACCAGCTGATCACTGAAGTAGAACTAGATACATCCTCACTCTTTCTTACTATCTTAACATGCTTCATCTTAACGCCCGTTGCCTTAAAACTGTCAGGATGAAACAGGAAGGGAAGATGTGCTAACTTCAGAATAAAAGCCTCAACCGTGTGCTGACTAGAAATATGATTATTATTAGTTATACAGAACAAAGTCCTTAATCTGCAATTTTAGTACCTTTGGTGTAAGTTGTTCGAACAGCGGACTTTGTCTCTCTCTGCATACTGTTGATGACTGAATCCTCCAGCAGTCAGCATGAATCAGAGGAGGAAACAAACCTCACCTGCTGATGACGCTGCAGTAGGAGGCGGGGCTACACGGAGGGGCGGAGCTTCAACGTCACTCTCCGGAGATGAAAGTTCGTTGGTCAGAGAGGCAGACGCGCTGCAGTGAAGACAAGTCTCCGTGTTTCTCTGAGAGAAAAGTCAAAGTGACGTCATCAGGTGTTCCTCAGCAACACAGCAGAGTCTCTTCAGAACACTGGTGAGTACAGCTGGTCACATTTACACCTTCAACAAGCAGGAAGAACACACAACTTGTACTTTACTCAGGCAGGAAGTTCCTCTCTGTTCACTTCCTACTTGATAGAATGTTAACAATGAAGCCACGTGTGTTTATCCACAGTCCCACGATACAGTAACTCAGTCTAACAGCTTCAAACTGTCCAGGACTTCAGTCACTTGGAGCTGAATCTCTGTGCTTTAAACTTTAGTGTCTCTCTGTTTCCTGATCCCTTCCTCTGTTTCCTCTTGGTGCGTCACGTTAAACGTGTTCCACAGCGAACCTGCTGGAGGCTTTTAGTGTGAGTCTTCTAAATGAGACGCTACGTGTTTGTCACCAAGTAAGCAGAGCGTTGTTAGCGTGCTGCTCTTTATTCACAGCATGTGGACACATTCTGGACTGGTTTCAAAATAAAACTATTCATGAAAACTATTTTAAATATAACGTGTTTCTTCTCTTCCACAACATGTGTAGACATGTCTTCTGCAAACTATGGTCCATCTGAAGATCAGTTCCTGTGCTCCATCTGTCTGGATGTGTTCACTGATCCAGTCACCACATCATGTGGACACAACTTCTGCATGAACTGCATCAATGAACACTGGAACACCAGCGACCAGAACCTGTGTCCAATGTGTAAGAAGGACTTCATCACCAGACCTGATTTGAGGGTCAACACCTTCATCTCTGAGATGGTTGTTCAGTTCAGACAGTCTGCTCAGCAGGAAGCCAGCAGCAGCAGCTCAGAGCAACACGAGTCCAAACCAGGAGAAGTTCCCTGTGACGTCTGCACTGGAACCAAAGTGAAGGCCCTCAAGTCCTGCCTGGTGTGTCTGGCCTCCTACTGTGAGACTCACCTGGAGCCTCATCTGACTATGTCAGGTCTGAAGAGACATCAGCTGATGAACCCTGTGGAGAACCTGGAAGGCAGGATGTGTACAAAGCACGATAAACCTCTGGAGCTGTTCTGTAAGAGCGACCAGACGTGTGTCTGCATGCTCTGCACTGTTTTAGACCACAAGAACCATGATGTTGTTCCTCTGGAAGAAGAATATGAAGAAAAAAAGGTTGAGCTGAAGAAGACAGAGGCTGAAATTCAGCAGATGATCCAGAAGAGAAGACTGAAGATTCAGGAGATCAAACACTCGGTCGACCTCAGTGAGGAAGATGCAGGCAGAGAGAAAGCAGAAGGTGTTCAGGTCTTCACTGATCTGATGGAGTCTGTTGGAAGAGGCTTGAAGGAGCTCCTCAAAACAATAGAAGAGAAGCAGGAAGCCACAAAGAAACAGGCTGAAGCTTTCATCAGAGAGCTGGAAGAGGAAATCTCTGAGCTGATGAAGAGGAGCGCTGAGGTCGAGCAGCTCTCTCTCTCTGAAGACCACCTCCATCTTCTCCAGTCCTCAAACATCCACGAGCCACCACCCACCAAGGACTGGACAGAGGTCAGTGTTTGTCCTTCATATGCGGGGACTCTGGTGAGAGCTGTGTCTCAGCTGGAGGAGACACTCAGTAAGAAGATGAAGAAGTGGTTTGCTGAGATGAAGAAGAAGGTCCAGATGTTTGCAGTGGATCTGACTCTTGATCCTCAAACAGCTCATCCTCAACTCATCCTGTCTGACGATGGGAAACAAGTGAAACACGGTGATGTCTGGAAGAATCTCCCAAACAACCCAGAGAGATTTTCTATTTGGTCCTGTGTTTTAACAAAGCAGAGTTTCTCTTCAGGCAGATTCTACTTTGAGGTTCAGGTTGAAGGAAAGACTCGGTGGTATTTAGGAGTGATCAGAGAGTCAGTCAACAGGAAGAAAATCATCCCACTGAGTCCTCAGGATGGTTACTGGATCATATGTTTGATGAATGGAAATAAATACCTTGCTTATGATGATCCTCCAGTTGTTCTCCCTCTGAAGTCTGGTCCTCAGAAGGTGGGGGTGTTTGTGGACTATGGGGAGGGTGTGGTCTCCTTTTATGACGTAGAAGCTGCAGCTCTCATCTACTCCTTCACTGGCTGCTCCTTCACTGAGAAGCTCTTCCCGTTCTTCAGTCCTGGTGATAATTACAATGTTAGAAACTCTGCTCCTCTGATCATCTCTCCTGTCAGAGTAAATTAATCATTCTCTGATTTCATGTGATGATTTTATTCATTAAAGGGAATAAATGTACATATTTTATATAAATACTGTATGTTTTTCTCTTTGTTTCTGTATCATGACGCCTTATGGAGAATATCTATTTCAACCTTTTGAATCCAGACTGTTTTATTTTCACTAAATATCCAAAGCTGAAGTTTGACTTTGAGTAAATCAGCAAAACAAATTATATCTGATGTGAAGCCTCTGAAAACATATTGTTGAATATTTAATATTCTCATAAACGCCTCTGACCTTTCCATCATGTTCACAGAATACACTTTGTGTTGTTATTGTCAATGAAAGTGAATTAATAATATAGATGCAAATGTTCTTTTGGTGTGAAAAGTGGTTTGAATTATTTAAAGTCACTTTGGCTCATTTTGATTTGTTTTGTGAATATTTGTAATAAGACTTAAAAATAAATAGGAGTGATTGTTGAAAAAAAGGAAACATACATCTCTTGAACAAGTTACTTTTGCCTCATAAATAACTTGAACTGAACACTGAACAGAAATGACGGTTTACACAAGTTATATTTATATTCACGTTAATTAAAAACGTCTTGTTTAATGCAGGAAACATGTCCGAGTTCTCTGTTTATTGATCACGTGACAATTCGTCAGTGTGAACGACACGAGTTCCACAGAAAGATCAATTCTAACGTGAGTTAATACACGAGGTTGATGAAACTGTTCAGTGGCTTCAGATACTGAGGAGAATCCACTCGACTGAGAACCAGCAGCAGAATAATAACCAAATACAACTGTAATTATACACAAACGTTGATCCACAGTTTTCCTGCTGTAGTAACAAAGTATTTATTGGGTGCCGGAGAGCAAAACCATGAACTTAAATGATGTAACAAGAGTTTAGCAGCTGAGCTGTAGTTGTTGGAGCCGCACAGGCTGTTATTCATGAAGCAGCTTCATGAGTTTATGACGTCATACCTGTTTGTCTCCTTGATGACACGTGCACAGCGACTGGACCACGTGGAGGAGGCGTGACCTCCTTTAGATACAAGATCACCTCACAAGACAACTTCAGAGTTCCTTCACGTTTCTTTTCATTTTCCTAAAGAGGGTCGTCGTCTTTAAAATGACACAACAAAACATTTGATCACTTTTTAAAAGTCGAGAACGAACAGAAAGACGACCGATGACAAAGAAAAACACACAATAAATACTTTGAAGCATCCGAGCAAAGAGAAGATTCCTGTTTGTGATCTCATGAGAAGCAGGAAGACGGTCGGTACCAACACGTCAGACGGTGTAACCCGGGTACATGAGGCTGTCAGCACGTGTGCTGCACCACCCAGAAGGAAGGAGCCCCTTCACGGTAACACGCTCCACCTGCAGAGTGCACGCCTACGTCATGACCCAGAGACTCTGAACGCCACAAAACGGGTCATTCAGGTTTTTCATCCACATGTAGTTTTTCTCGTGTTGTTTCTGTGTGGAGAACAGAAGTAAGTAAAAGGTCAAATTCATTTATAAAGTGCTTTCCACAGACCGAGATCACAAAGTGCTACAGGGCAGGAATTTAACACAAAGAGGTGTAACACAATACGGCCTCAAAAGCTCGATCACCAGGGGTCTTGAGGGGCACGAGGAGGGTGGAGGACATCGCGGAGAATCTGGAGTTTCGGCTGCAAGGTGAAGCGTGAAGCTTTGGATGAGCGCTGTGACGTCCGTCACGCGGCCCAGCTGCTCATGTCTCCCCGGTGGACGACGAGCGACTTCAAGCTTACGGAGGAGCTGGCAGCAATGCGGCCAATGAAAGAGGAGAGGAGGATGAGGAAGTGTTGGAAAGGGTGGAGGTTCCGCCAGGCTCCTCGCCTATACGGCCGGAGGGTGGTTGAGTCCCGGGTGCCTCTAACCCTGCCCAAGTTTCAGCCGTCTCCTGAAGAGTCTGATAGGTCGGTGGAGACCGCTAGGCTCCGGCTTCGTGTAGCCAGTCTTGAAGCTGACCTTACGGATAAGGCAGAAAGGCGACAACAGGAGTACGAGCTAGAACTGCGTAAATTGGACATCAAGAGGCTGGAAGTGGAGACCAGCAAAGAGATGGAAGATGGAGATACAGGCAGAGACGGAGGTTAAGATACAGATACGGCAGCTGGAGCTAGCTGCTGGTGTATCCTCCTCCCCACCAGTTGGTAGAGAGGGACCTTTTGATGTTGGGAGAAACATAGCTATCGTACCTCCATTCCGTGAGTCAGAGGTGGACTCTTATTTCTCCGCCTTCAAGCGAGTAGCAGGGGCACTTCACTGGCCTAAAGAGGTCTGGCCTTTGCTACTCCAGTGCAAGCTGACAGGGAAGGCGCAGGAGGTTGTGGCGTTTCTGTCCCTGGAAGAAAGTGTGACAGTATGACCTGGTGAAAGCTGCTGTTCTCAGAGCTTACGAATTGGTTCCAGAGGCCTACAGGCAGCGCTTCCGGAACCATAGGAAAAGCAGTAATAAAACTTTTGTAGAGTTTGCTAGGGATAAAGAGTCTCTGTTTGATCGCTGGTGTGCTGCTAGCAAAGCCTCTACATACGCTACCCTTAGGGAGTTGACGTTACTGGAGGACTTTAAGAGTCACCTCCCAGACGACATAGTTGTTCACCTGAATGAACAGAAGGTAACAACGGTGGCACATGCAGCGGTCATGGCAGATGAGTACGCTTTGACCCACAAAACCGTGTTTTACCCTAGCACGCCTACCCATGGACCCAGACCGAGTAACTCCCAGGCGGTGAGAACTTCTCGTGCTCCTGCTGCCCAGCCCTTCACTTGGGGACCTAGCAAAGCAGAGAGGGAATGTTTTTATTGTCGGTTGCCAGGCCACCTAATCGCTGACTGTCCTACGCTAAAGGCTAAACCCAAAGGCCCTCTGTCGCCATCACTGAGTAAGGGTGTTGGCTTTGTGGGCCCAAAGAAGCACTCAGTAGTGTACAGCCCTTTTCTCTCTAAGGGGTGGGTGTCACTGGTTGTGTGTAGGTCAGTGCTGGTGTATGGTGGGGTAGTTATTAGTTCTGGTGATTTTCTGTACTGTGTATTCAATTAATTGTTTTTTCTTTGTTATTTTTCTTACAGGGGGATGAGGAGTAGTTTAGCCCTGCTCCGGAGTTTACATACCTGCACGTAGGGTTACTCTCCTGTCTAACAACACTAGCTACACCTGGCTGGGCCACCTACTGTAAGTTTGGGTAGGGCGCCTTGTTAGTGTGCCAGTTAGTGGTTTTCGTTGGGAGATAGGACAGGTAAGGGGGTGGGAGGCATTTTGTTCTTTCTTTGCTTTGGTACCGCCAGCCCTCATCATTTCCCCTGTTAACAGCACTTAAATAAAAGCCTGCTTACCCCAACTTCAGGTGATGTTGTTTTCTTGCACCTACGACGCCATACCCGTTTACTGGTCACAGGACGTCCTCGGGCAGTGGCGTGAATCCCACTCCCCTCCTGGGGAGTCAGAACGTAACAAGTCAGAACAAAACAGTGTAAGCGCGAAAATAAACCGCACTATACACACGAACCCAATGATTTACCTTTATTTATTTTTGTAGAATGGTTTTACCGTTTATAATACGAGAAAACTCCAGCCCCTAACTCAGAAAACACTAACTAATCCTACCTGGTCTTCAGAGACGTACCGGGCTCGAGGCGACATTAAACGCTGAGCTCCGCGACAATCAGTCAAACTGAAGGTCCGGAAGCGTACCCCCTACAGAGAGCGAATGTCCACCCAGGATAACCTGCAAAAACAAGAAAGGCAAAACAACAAACAGTGCTCCGTTGGAAGGACTGTTTTCACAATCCAGCTGGAAACACTCTAACTAACCAGAGTTCAATTATAAAGGTAACCATTCACAAAAATACACACACATACCACCAATACTCACCAACGTTTCCTACCCCCATAGGATCGCGGACGAGACCCCAATTTATGTTACGGCCAGCTCGTTTCGACCGTACATAAAGAAAACAAGTACAATGAAATTACTTGCAAGAGTTTAATTGTTCGTTCAGAATAACGGTAACTTAACAAAACAAAGTCTAGGTTCAAAACAAAGGGGAAAATCATAATCCAGATGGGGAGAGAAAAGATTGGTATGAGTTGGGTAACTAAACAAAGGTAGGCCAAAGTGACTTCTCCAGAGGCAGTCGCTCCCCTGGAGGAAGGGGCCGTGGGGAGGGGGAATCCAGGGTTTTATCCTCTCCACAATTAAGAGGCAATCAGGGAACAGAGGTGTGAAATCTCCCACGTTCTCCCTAGAAGACACCGCCACCAGCAGGCGAGCAGATGAAGGGCGGGGTCGTAACAGTAGCAAGACTTTACTATCTGATTGACACTCCAGAACATCTCTACACTTTTGTTTCCATCTTTCACAATAAAAGCCCCGGATACCTTCACTGGGACACTGTTAGCTTGCTAGCAGCATCCTTCAGGTCGGGGAGCTGCAGGACAAACAAACTGAGGTCAGACCTCGCAGGAAGTCGTCATACGGTGAACAGTAGTGAGATCTGATCTGAGAGCCAGCTGATCTTCATCTGCATGCTGGGAGCAACACTCCGTCAAAACTCCATCGTCCAATAAGGAGCCAGAGAAAAGCCACCAGCTGATCACTGAAGTAGAACTAGATACATCCTGACTCTTTCTTACTATCTTAACATGCTTCATCTTAATGGCCGTTGCCTTAAAACTGTCAGGATGAAACAGGAATGGAAGATGTGCTAACTTCAGAATAAAAGCCTTAACCGTGTGCTGACTAGAAATATGATTATTATTAGTTATACAGAACAAAGTCCTTAATCTCCAATTTTAGTACCTTTGGTGTAAGTTGTTCGAACAGCGGACTTTGTCTCTCTCTGCATACTGTTGATGACTGAATCCTCCAGCAGTCAGCATGAATCAGAGGAGGAAACAAACCTCACCTGCTGATGACGCTCCAGTAGGAGGCGGAGCTACACGGAGGGGCGGAGCCTCTACATCACTCTCCAGAGATGAAAGTGAAGTTGGTCAGAGAGGCAGACGCGCTGCAATGAAGACAAGTCTCCGTGTTTCTCTGAGAGAAAAGTCAAAGTGACGTCATCAGGTGTTCCTCAGCAACACAGCAGAGTCTCTTCAGAACACTGGTGAGTACAGCTTGTCACATTTACACCTTCAACAAGCAGGAAGAACACACAACTTGTACTTTACTCAGGCAGGAAGTTCCTCTCTGTTCACTTCCTACTTGATAGAATGTTAACAATGAAGCCACGTGTGTTTATCCACAGTCCCACGATACAGTAACTCAGTCTAACAGCTTCAAACTGTCCAGGACTTCAGTCACTTGGAGCTGAATCTCTGTGCTTTAAACTTTAGTGTCTCTCTGTTTCCTGATCCCTTCCTCTGTTTCCTCTTGGTGCGTCACGTTAAACGTGTTCCACAGTGAACCTGCTGGAGGCTTTTAGTGTGAGTCATCTAAATGAGACGCTACGTGTTTGTCACCAAGTAAGCAGAGCGTTGTTAGCGTGCTGCTCTTTATTCACAGCATGGGGACACATTCTGGACTGGTTTCAAAATAAAACTATTCATGAAAACTATTTTAAATATAACGTTTTTCTTCTCTTCCACAACATGTGTAGACATGGCTTCTGCAAACTATGGTCCATCTGAAGATCAGTTCCTGTGCTCCATCTGTCTGGATGTGTTCACTGATCCAGTCACCACATCATGTGGACACAACTTCTGCATAAACTGCATCAATGAACACTGGAACACCAGCGACCAGAACCTGTGTCCAATGTGTAACAAGGACTTCATCACCAGACCTGATTTGAGGGTCAACACCTTCATCTCTGAGATGGTTGTTCAGTTCAGACAGTCTGCTCAGCAGAAAGCCAGCAGCAGCAGCTCAGAGCAACAAGAGTCCAAACCAGGAGAAGTTCCCTGTGACGTCTGCACTGGAACCAAAGTGAAGGCCCTCAAGTCCTGCCTGGTGTGTCTGGCCTCCTACTGTGAGACTCACCTGGAGCCTCATCTGACAGCTTCACGCCTGAAGAGACATCAGCTGATGGACCCTGTGGAGAACCTGGAAGGCAGGATGTGTACGAAGCACGATAAACCTCTGGAGCTGTTCTGTAAGAGCGACCAGACGTGTGTCTGCATGCTCTGCACTGTTTTAGACCACAAGAACCATGAGTATGTTCCTCTGAAAGAAGAATATGAAGAAAAGAAGGTCGAGCTGAAGAAGACAGAGGCTGAAATTCAGCAGATGATCCAGAAGAGAAGACTGAAGATTCAGGAGATCAAACACTCGGTCGACCTCAGTGAGGAAGATGCAGGCAGAGAGAAAGCAGAAGGTGTTCAGGTCTTCACTGATCTGATGGAGTCTGTTGAAAAAGGCTTGAAGGATCTCCTCAAAACCATAGAAGAGAAGCAGGAAGCCACAAAGAAACAGGCTGAAGCTTTCATCAGAGAGCTGGAAGAGGAAATCTCTGAGCTGATGAAGAGGAGCGCTGAGGTGGAGCAGCTCTCTCTCTCTGAAGACCACCTCCATCTTCTCCAGTCCTCAAACATCCATCAGCCACCACCCACCAAGGACTGGACAGAGGTCAGTGTTTGTCCTTCATATGAGGGGACTGTGGTGAGAGCTGTGTCTCAGCTGGAGGAGACACTCAGTAAGAAGATGAAGAAGTGGTTTGCTGAGCTGAAGAGGGTCCAGATGTTTGCAGTGGATCTGACTCTTGATCCTGAAACAGCTCATCCTGAACTCATCCTGTCTGACGATGGGAAACAAGTGAAACTTGGTGA